CTGACTGTAAATTTCCGTGTCAAAATAAAGAGACTGCCATTTTAACTTATATTTTAGACCAATAAGAAGCCAGCTAGCCAACAGCCAATCAAAATCTGCCTATATCGCTTTTCGTGTTTGTAGGCATACGATAACCAACCAATATTGAGGTAAGTATATATATAGCTTCTTCTTGTATTTATCTTGTAAACATACTTCCAATAATGCATTACTCATAATTGCATTTTATATCATTTTGCAGCTGCGCAGAATTTTCTCCTCTTCCTGAAGTAGCGTTCAGTCACGTGGCGGCAGAGAACTCAGCCAGATATACGCTGTTCACTGGTTGACCACAACTATCAGCAGGAAACGGAACGAAGTTTGGGTTGTCGCTCAACTTTTATGGTGACCTTAGTAAACGGTTTACAATTTAACATTTATAAGAACCTGTTCTGATTGCTTGTACGATAATTAAACAATTTAAACTTTTGAAAAGTATCAATTTATGATACTTCAGGATTGTAATTTATAACATTTCTGATCGTGCCTGTAAAAATGGCATGCATTTCTTGTAAACTTACCCGTTTATACGAAATATAAATTATTATTTTTGATAGAGGTTACATCAAGGGAATTCATCAATAATCCAGGGGATTTATAATGTAACCATGACGGAGTTTTCCTGCATACTGGTTACATTTCAAAGGATTATCCCACTACCATTATTTGTATAACAGATTGGTCAAGGGATGACAGATTAAGTAGACTGATTCACTTCTTATTGTCATACCTACAGAATAAAGAAGACCTGATCACATTTTCCGCATCTTAAGAAATGACTATGTAACTGATTCATCTTCTATTTTACGCTGCACCAGTTTGGAAGACTTCTGAAGAGTTCAGAAATCAAGAGGGAACCATGTAGCTGTACAGTAATTTTTCACTTGTAGAAAGCTAGTTATTCGCTCTGCTTGAATGACTTCGGAAGCGTTTTCGGTTGGTTCCAACTAAAAAAACGTCAAAGATTACTGTACTGTGTCCATCTATGCCCCTAGACCCAAGCTCCGAAACACTACCTGCTGACGCTTTGGACTGGTTCACCTGACCTGGTGGCCGGGTCACTCTTAACACTCCCAACTAGTAGCGGGAGAATATAAAGCTTGAGGCTGTTAATAAACGTATTTATTAATTACTGTATGGACAGAATATAGAGATACATAATCACACCACAACGTAGCGACCGGGCTTTTGTTACTCAACAACCCAGTCGCCCACCATGTATTTCAGTCCGTACAGATAATCACATCCATCATTGAAGGTGAAATATCTGAGAGTGAATTAACTTGACGGGCTTCTCTGGTCCTCTACACACCGACACTGTCGGTGTCTCATGGGCGCACCCGACAAAAGAACTCCCCCATTCACCCCAACATTTAGTCAAGAAGAGTATTGAACAGTCATATTTAGCAGAAAATGATGAAAATAGACTGTGAGACTACTGTATTTACTCAAAACATCCGAAATTGAAGGGTATTCCTGATGACTAAAGACAGAAGGGGAACTGAATGGTAATCCTAACAGTTGTAATGTCATAAAGGAATATGATATCTCACAATAACATTTCCTACCATATCGACAAATCTATTCGCTTGTTGGGATGAGGACAGAGTATGAATTGGGGCATATCGGATTCATCATGTTCTGCCCATTTCACAGCGGATGGTCTGCATATATTAGGGTTGCGCCAAATCGTTTTCAACCTAACTCAGCAGCTGTATGACAATGACATATCAAGTGATGTATAATGGAAAATTAAGTGAAGCGTGTGAAGTGAAGACACGAAAATCAATTAGTACCAAGGAAAACATAAGACAGGAAGTGAGGCATATAAGAGAGAGTTTGAAACCTAATAATTATCCTGATAAATTAGTCAGGAAGTATGTAGGGAAATGTAAAAATAAAATAAATAATGATGGGAGTGGGAGTGATAATAATAATAGTGATGATAATAATAATAGTAATAGTAATGTTAATGACGACATGCATGTCAAACATGCGCAAGACAACACCAACAATAAGGAATCTAAATCATCGGTAGTAATTCCAATCAAAGGAAGAACCTTGGAAACCTTACGCAGAATTCTTAACAGGGCAGGAACAAAAGTTGCATTAAAAACCCAAAAACTCAGTTAGAAACAAACTTTGCCGGTTAAAGGATCAATCCTGTGAAGCCTTTAAAGCAAAACAATTTAGTTTATCTAATATCCTGTCTGCGATGATTGTCAGGTGAAATACATAGGTCAAAGTAGTTGAACAGGTGCAGTCAGTTAGACTAGCCGAGCATAGAAATCTGGCAAAATCTAGAGTAGTCGACCCGAATAAGATAAGAAATCTGGAGAATAGTTCAGCCATAGATAGCACTACATGCAATTACACACAACCATACAGTAGGATGATGGGATAAGATGACAGTTTTCAAATCTAATGTCAAAGGATGGAAGGAGAGATTGATAACAGAAGCTTTGTTTATCGAATCAACTGCAAACACATGTAATACGAATGATTCAACACCTATCCCAGATATCTGGAAAATTCTACTACCCCTACGACAAATAGGAGAAGACAAAGAAAACTATAAAACTCAAGTTTCGGAGTCGTGTGATCATAATTGATATGATTATGCACAATAAATTTTGTTCGAAACGAAATCCGGTAAATAATACTGTTTCACTGTGTGATACATCTAATAAACAAACTAATATAGAGAATCCAAAAGAATTGGATTTCGCCAATGTTTTATGTCCAGTGTCACACATAGAGGAAGATCTACTGGTGAAAGCCATTGAACTGCCAGGAGATACAGAGAAGACAGGACTCCGAGTGAACATGGAGAAAACAGGGTTGATAAAGGAAACGAACGATAACAACAGACAGCAAGCTTAGTCAACAGGGGAAATTTGAAATATGTCATTTCCCTCACTCATCTAGGCGGCATCGCTTCAACTACATTTGAGGCGTATGAAGATGTAAAAACTAGAATCAGAAAGACCAGACAGATCTTCATCACTCGGATTTTCAACAAAAGCGCTAAGTCACTTTCTCCACTTTGGTCAGAAACTTGAAGTGACAGTAAAAGCATTTCTGAAAGGCTACAGACATTGATCAGCTGCCGGCTTCTCTGCATCCTGAACATCAAGTGACCAGAAACAATTGGTAGCAGGGAACTGTGGGAATACATCACCCAAGGATTATCTCTTGAGATATATGCTGAGGAAAATGGAGATGGATCGGGAACATGTTGCGGAGACTGCCGAGTAACATTGCAATCCAGACCCTAGAGTGGAACCTTAATGGTAAACAATGAGTTTTGCGTAGGTTACAGGGCGAATAAGAGCATGTCATGTGGTGGGGGAGATGAGACGTCTCGTGCGGTTAGCCAAAAAGAACCGTGGAGGACAGGACAAAATGGAGGTGTGTTGTTGAAGCATGGTAATCCACTTGGAACCCAGGGAAACAATGATGGTATTATTATAATGTAATGTTGATGACAGAAAAATGAAACAACTGCTCTTTCGACTCCATTGCCCGATTTGTTCTAGTATTAAGTTAGCAAATTGACGAATCGGGCTATTACATCAAACACCTATGGGCAGGATACAGCTCTTGAAACTTATCTGGCAGTGCACTGTGTAGTTTTACAAGAACAAATATGCTCGAGGTGGTTAATAAGCAGGTTTGCCTAGACGTCCGAACGACCGCTACCTACATTGTTGCAAATACTGACAACCATATTGGTGGTGCTTGTAAACCAGTGTCCCCTGTGTGTAGACAACTGGGAAAACATCACATGCATATATTACATTATCAGTGGCTTAGGCGTCTCATCTCCATCGGAGGTAGCCGTGTTTCAGTGACAACGACTATGGTTGAACTCAGTCCCTTTACTTTTAATCCTGGTTCATGGAATTTACTTGAATATTGCCTCTAAAAATTCATGCTACCTATAAACATTTATGACAGTCAAAGTTCATGCATACAACTCACGAAAACACCTGTTTCAAAGGCCGGATTTTCTGAAAACGTACACGTTTCAGATTATTCTCCTCATCTGCGCGTTCACTTTCCAGTTGCGACAATGCTTGCTTCCTCTTTATCCTGTTTTAAAAGACTAGTCTGTTGATCCATAGAGCGATTCCAACGAAATAATTTGCAGTTTACAGTTTACAATTTAGGATAGTAGGCTATATGCCTGTGTTAATCCTTTCGATTTATTACACACAGGAGGTCCAATCTCGCCTTGAATGAATCAACGGATGGCGCTGATACGACGTGTACCGGTAGGGAGTCCCAATGGTTCACAATTCGATGCGAAAAACGGATCTCCAGACGCAGACGATTCGACCGTGGTTTTTGAATCTTGAGGTGATGTCCTCGCAATTGGTTGGTGCTAGAAGGAAGAAATAAATTAGATAAATTAGCTCCAAAATCATTTCTTAGGATACGGTATGCTAGTATTAGGTCACCCCTAAGTCGTCTGTATGACAGTGGAATAAACCCAGTCGACTTAACCTCTCTTCATATGAGAGGGTTGAGAAACCCTTTATTAGCTTAGTTCCTACTATTTGCACCCTTTCTAATAAGTCTATTTCGTATTTGAAACAGGGGCTCGCTGCCTCGATCCCATATTCCAAATGAGGTCTGATATAAGTCGGATATAATATACGAAATATATCAGCGTCGAAGTTAGCAAAAGCCTTGCGTATGGCCCATAATATTCGAAAACCCTTAGTGGCTGCAGCTCTACAGTTTGTTGCTGTTTTCAAGTCATGCTGCACAACCACTCCCAAGTCCTTGTACTCAGTGGCCACTGGAAGAGTAAAGCCATTCATTGAGTAATTGTGCACGTGACTATGAGATACATGCATAACTACACTCTTGCTTAGTTTGATCGGCTAAAAGGCCCAAAAATACCTCACATACCATGTGCTTCCTGGAACAGTTATCACCAGCTGTTTCCCCATCCCAGTCAATTTTCTTGTGGCATTTTCCGAATGGGGCAATAAAGACTCAATTATGTGAGCGTTCCTATACAGGGGCAGCATAATTTATTTTTAGTATGTAGTGTGTGATTACGTCAAAGTATTACTGGCCATGATATATTGGGGTATTTCCACTCTTTCTTTCCACCTTCAAGCTAGTATTATTACTGTGTCAATAGTTTCTTATTTGTCACCTCATCACTTACTCTGCTTGAACGCTTTTGTTTCCTACTTGACTCTTGATGTCCAGACAGCTAGAAGTCGGCATTTGTTATTCCATTGTGTGATTGTGTTGCCAAAATAACCTCTCTTCATATTTTTGTCGTGTAATAGTTCATGACTTCTACAGAGAATAAACTTACGAGATGAGCCGACAATAATACATATAACAGTGTCATCAATATGCCACTGGGTACCGGTGGTTCAGTAGTAGGATGTTCGCCAACTACTCACATTGTCCAAATCCGATTCCCTAGTGCCTACTCCTTAACTCGCTGCTCGAGGAGTATGCCTGCGACTACATAGATCAGAAAGAAAAGAAAAATTTGCCATTAGGCTTGTTTAGCCAAACAAAATACCTCTCTTACTAGTAAATGTTGATGAGTGAAAACGAAAGAGACTAGAGTAAGTGGAAAACTTGAAAGCTTTCACTTCCACTGTTCCCAAACTGTTCGCCAGACACCTCCCCAGAAAATGTTAGGTTTATTTACAAAATAACTAAATAGGAGAAATCATGCTTATCAGTTCGCAAAAGTGCTTATCTCGACCACATTAAAGGCGGGATAGAATCTGTTCGCGCCAACAAGAACCATTGTATTTCTATCCTTAGTCGAACTTATTACGGAGAAATCATAAGCACCTCATTATCTTTTCTCAAGGCTTCCCAAGCAGTTAATCGCTCCCATTACAGGCCTACTAACTAAATCCCTCAGACTACAACTCTCGCACGGAGCGTTATCGTGCGACTGGGAGGATCGGATAATAACTCCTTTCAATCGAGGCAAGTTCCTTCAAACCATAGGCCTATTAATCTTACCAGCATACTGATCAAGATATTTCAGGGAATAACTCAGGGAAATCTTGGCCAAATTTAGGGATAGTGAGTACTCATTGATCGATGTTGTCTTCCTATATTTCAGTATTGTTTTCGACAAAGTGTTCCACACAGGATCGCTCATGAAACCGAAAGCTCAGGAACTGATGGCTGCCTTATGATCTACATCACAGAATTCCTCACCTCAGATAGGGGGAAATTTAGGATCGAACCGTAGCTTCATTAGTGAACGATGGTACTTATTGGTGTGCCACGAGATACTGTGCTCGACCCACTTTATTTACGATGTATATGATGGAGGTTTGCTGTTTCCTATGATTCTTTATTCATATGACTTAAAAACTTGGGAAGAACTGAGGGACTATTATGAAGTGCCAATTCTGGAAACAGATCCCAGAAATCTGATGTCTTTCCTAATAATGGATCCTTCACAGTAGCCTAATAAAATACTAAGCCATGTATACAGTGCACGTAAGTGTAATAAACTCGACAAGTGGAGAATGTCAATCCCCTCATTTCAGGCGTACATGGATCTAGGTACCATTAAAAGCTGCAACCTGAAGACCACTGTCGCGCAGTGATATATGTCAGCTTTAAGATATTACAAGCAACACAATGGCCATTTGTTAACTTGAAAAATGCGATATTCATTACGCTATGCATGTCACTAGTTGGGTCAAAACCAGGAAAGTACATCCAGACAAGCATGTCTTGTATACCACAGTACTCATGTTTACTTAGTATTACCAATTTATCATGTTAGGAACCACTTAATAGTCATTGTTGCATCATAGGCAGAAGGGAGTCACGTTCGTCAAGATTCTAAGAACTAATTCTGGAGCTGATATACCTTCTCTTTTTGTTTCCACACGGCCATGATATCTCAACGGACATAGCGAGATAGTAGAAGTGTCAAGGAGAAATTGCATCACTGTGGAATACTGGTTGTTTCATTGAGCCAATAAATCATAGGACCGAATCCTAGAAGCAGTGATGTTTGCGCCCTAAATCAACTCATTCACAGAGGGACTAGCCAAACATATATATTTATTAGAAGATTTACACATGCTTTAAGTCTTTTTTCCTCAACCAAAATTCTGAATCCCAAACAAAGTCGTGGTGCTTTGTTCGTTTGGTCAATATTCAATGCATAAATTTCAAACTCACCTTGTGATGGCGAATCGCAAACGGAATAGGCCTGAAGATTGGGAGGATTTAGAGCCCTCCCCTGTCATTCATATAAGAGAATTGCCTGAACATACATTAGAGCTTGATTTATTACGCGTTTTTGAGCAGTTTGGTTCCATCAGAGATATCGCCATGATCCCCCACAAGGGCCAAGCTCTGATCGAATTTGATGATATTAATTCTGCTGAGAGGGCAGTTGCTAGGTAAGTTGTGCATTCTTTCCCGTGGTTCATTGTCTAGGTGCTCGGAAAATTCTGTAATGTTTGCTAACCATCGGCTGAAAGTTAATTACAGCACTTCAAAAAGGGTTATACATCGACCTTTAGAAAATGATGGACAGCATCCTGATATACCTCCAGAAAGCCGTGTTCTGTTGTTGACCGTTTACAATGCACAGTATCCTATCACAGTAGATGTTATTCATCAGATCACGGCTAAACATGGTCGTGTTTTGCGCATTGTCATTCTCCGCAAGGCCAGAATACAGGTATTTACATATCTACTCTTATTTTTATCGTAGGCTATGGTTGAGTTCAAAAGTACTGACGAAGCTCGCACTGCGAAGCGTCACCTAAACGGAGCTGATATCTACTCTGGGTGCTGCACTTTGAAAGTCGAATTTGCTCGTCCGACTCGCCTAACTGTAACTCGAAACGATCAAGACTCATGGGATTTCGAAAACCCTTTACTTATGTCAGCCGCAATGAATGATACAGATGGTCGAGGGGACATCTCATTATTAGGTAAGTGTACTCTACAGTTATCCCCATACATTAGGACGCTTTGAGCGTTCTCGTGCAAGGCATGAAAGTTCCAGGTCTATTAATGGCGGTTACGGATATCACGATAACTTCATGAAACAAAATAATGTTGGTATCAGTGTCCCACCTGCTTCATTTTTGGATCAGCTCGCACTGAACTATCATGTTTCAAGACGTGGTTTTGATGGATTAAACGGTCAGCAGTACGTCAGAGCCGCCACGCCTGTCATTATGGTGTATAATATGAACATGGATCATATGAATTGTGACCGGTAAGTAACGTTTGATTTTCAGGATATCGTGTATTTACTTTGACAGCATTTATATGCAGTTGGTTTGCTAACTGCATTTACTTCGCATTCGATAACTTAATTTACCCGACAGTCCGAATTCGAAGTTATTTGATTGTGTTTGTTAAGTCGTCTGTGAAGACCACATTTAAGAAAAGTATATCAGGAGTATATTTAGTTCCAGACTTTAAAAGTATTTAACTTCCTTAGACCTATTGCTTATTGTGTTAGAAGCCTTCCATTTGCCAGCGCCGTTTCACACTATTCTTAGTTCGTTATGTGCCATTTCGATTTAAATGCATTATGGTTTATATCATTTGGCACACAGCTCTTAGACACTATCGTGTGCGCACGTCGTTCGGCTTGCTAGGATGTAAGCAACAGTTGTAGAGATGTAGTCAAAATGGGGATACCACTAAGAGCAGACAACAGAAGTATCACTGCCGTTAAAGAAAGTAGGACGTATCGTTTTAGCAGCAAATGCTGAAGTACTCCAAATTGTTACGTTTTGGTAGAAAGTTGGGCGTATTAAGATAAACCTTGGGTGTAAATGAATTAACAAATATATTCACCATTGTATGCTACTTCACTTTCATACATCGATAGAGGACAGCCCCCAGAACAAGAAATTTCTGAGGAAGTGTAAGCTTACAACAATATTACAGTCATATATACATAAATACTGCGATTTACTAGAATGCAGGTGAATGTTGAATGATTTCCAATGGCAAGGACAGGAAATGTCAGGTGTGGATTTGAAATAAGCTGCAAAAACAATGCAACTAACTATACCAAAATATTTGTGAAAGGGTAGGATTGAATATAAGTTTATACTTGATACTTCCGGGTTACAAAGTATAACCCGAAAAAGGAAAACAGGACAGATGTTTAGAGATAGCACGATAGATAATCGTGCATAAGGACTGGTGGGGATGTTCAGAAGTTTGATAATTGAATAGATCTCTGCCGTTGCAAGCGGCCTATTGTAAGAGAAGAAATTAGCGATTACGTGTTGCTAGTGAGATACCAGATCTTTGTGAGATGTGGACAATGGAAGGTCTACATGAAGGGAAATATACATTTTTTAATCCATGGCAAATTCCCATTGTAACATAGAAAATCAAAACATTTGACTTGTACATTTAGATCCATATCCCAGCATTTGTTATTAATTGGTTTCAACACAGACGTGTAGTATGATACTAATCATTCGTCTATTTTAGTTGCTTTTCTATACTGTACATATCCGAAATGTGGCAACTTGAATTGATGCACTTTTGTGCAATGACCTAGGCTGCTAATTTGTTCGATTAGCTAGTAGCGTAGTCTGACCACGAAGAAATGTTTTGTATAAGATAATTTAATAACAGTATAAGGGGAAATAAGACACTTGAAAAGCAGGACGTTACAGACAGTCATACTTGTTCAGTACTTGCAGACGTACTTTCATAACTTCATAGTTTATTACCAGGTAGAAGAATAAGATATCAGCTTATTCTCTACTAATAACGTTTTTGACTTATATCTGATGATTTCTGAAGCCATTGAGTTGCTTCATCCCTTGAACCGTACCTGACCCAAACACCCTTCATCCGGCGTCATACTTGATCATCCGTCCATCCTTTCCATCCATTCTCAGGGCTAAGAGACTGTAAGTTACATGAAAGCTTTGGGAAAGGTATGCTAGTCCACCAAAGCTGATATCCCAAGATGACGTCACTTACTGAAAACGTCAGGTTTAACAAAAGTACGACAGAACTGCGTGCACTGAAACGACATAGCCTTTAGTGGTATCTTGACGGTGCCAGGGATGACCCGGACTAGCGTGTGCGACTCTGGTTTTTGCCAATCTTGCAACAATTCACATTTTGATGGTGCCAAGTACATACCGTACCGTAATTTCTGACACAGACCTCAGATTCGGTAGTCAGTATGTTTGCATACGGGTTTTTCTTCAGGTAAAACAACATTGCCCTGATCCCTCAGTGCTTTTTTTCAAAATGCCATTTGTGGCAAAGTTAAAGGACGGAAAAATCAGTCAACCTTGTCCATTTACACTACGGATCGGGGACAACGGTGATAGACGGGATTTTGAAAGGATATGTCAATATTAGAAAAAAGAGAACACGAAGATATCCTTTCAGCGATTTCATTTTCAAAAGCTGTACAATCACATTTAAATACATACAACGACCTATGTAGCTGGCTCCGCACACATAACTTTCATCTCAAGTGGGAAATTATTTCAGTTTGTTTCCATGCTCATTTTTGCACACATGTAATTCGTCCTAATCCTGTGTAATTTTAGTTTCTGAGCCTCTCGTAAACCATATCTAGTTGAAAATAATTGTCACCTATTCGCCTTCGTAATTATGTGGAATCAAATAGTAGTTGTATCTGTTAATTTATGTATTTAAATGTGATTGTACGGTTTTTGAAAATGAAGTCACCGAAAAGATATCTTTGCTGAACTTGGTGTTTTCTTCTTTCTAATGTCCTAATGGCTATTTCCCATGATATATGGATATGCTGACAAATTTGTAAGAGAAGCCTCTATTAGCTGATATAGGGCCAGGCTGGAAAAGAGCTAGCGGCGGTCAAACCAAAACATGGCACCAGTCAATGAAATCCACAACAGTTAATCTAAGCCACGTAGGAAGATGTAGACTTCCTGGTTGGGGTCCTCGGGACGGTAAAAACCAATGGTTGGAAACAATTGGTGACATGGCTCAAAATCGTTCTCAATGGCTGGTGCAGATGCATCCACTCCTTGTGACTTATGATTTCCAATTAAACTGTTTTGTTCTCCGTTATTACTACTCCTTTGTCTCACACCTCTGTTTACTGTCTATATTATGCATTTCTATTATCAAATAATCCAGAAAAACAGTTGTCCTGTGGGTCGAAGTTATCCATAATAACATGTACATTGACCATTGGTTTGTAACACGTGACGCGTTTTAGGAACTGGTATGGATGAACGCCAAAATATTATATGTTACCGTACATGCATACCGTAAACATACATCTCCAAGAATCCAGTCAGTTCATTTTTCAAGATAGTAAGCCTGAGTGCCGCGCAACGTGTACTGCTCATTGATATACCTCTGTGAAACCATTGTGAAAGTTTACATAGATGTACTTCAACCGTGATTGGTATTATTCGTAAGAAAAAAAGAAATTAGATACGGCGATTTCGCAATGCATACGATATAGTGAGTTTTAAATTGTGCTCGGAAAACATTTCAGCTTGGCACACTATATCACTAGGCTTTGTAGCACAAGTGTAATGTGAGACTTACAGTTTTTTAGATCTCGGAACATTCCTTTTATCATGCCTGGGGGAATATAAGTTTTAAGGCGTGAACGATTTTATGGAGATTCGGTCTCCTTACCACGATTAGATACTTAAGTTTAGCCATTTCTGTGTCAGTAAGCGGTAGATTTTTGAAATGTTTTATACACTGGATTCTCCATATTTTTCTCTGTGGATATTGATCTTGGTTTTATAGAGAAACTTGAATATTTACCAATGTTACGACATGTGAATCTCCAGTCACCTATAAAATTAATGGCAAAAATCGATCATAGTTTTACGGGTCATATTGTTTGATCTAAACAGTAAAATTAGAGATTTCAAGGAAGATTTAGTGTTTAGATTACTTCCTCTGGTGTAAAGTCACCCTCTTATTTGTTTTTCCCATTGAGTCATAATGTCTTACTGTATCGTTGTTATACAAATCTGTGGAGTTATATATAACCAGTGTTTTTGGAGTTAAGTGTTGGAATATTGATTTCAGAACCTAATTAAATGACGTCAAACATTGATTGGATAGACATGTGCATATACATATGTGCTAGTTTTATATGACAATTTTATTTTCAAATTTTTCTTTCAGTTTGTTCAACCTTCTTTGTCTTTATGGAAATGTGGTCCGTATTAAATTTCTACGGACGAAGGAAGGATCAGCTATGGCGCAAATGGGCGATAACGTTAGCGTTGATCGTGTCATTACTAATTTGTCAGAAGTCCCACTAATGGGAAATGCATTGTCGGTACGATTTCCTTCACACTGTCTTTTGATAATCTACTTTAATTGTTTGTTGTTAATATCTAGAATATTTTTTGTCGATCTATGAAACTATGAACTTTTGATGTGCTCTAGTTCTCAGTTGCAGTATGCATAAATATATTTCACACTAAAACTGTCACATACTGCTTTGTTTCGTTGACTAGCGATGGATTAAGCAGCTTTGGCCACATCTATTCCAGACAGGAATTGGATGGTGAAGGATTTTGGTGAGGAAATCCAGCTGAACTGCTCGAAACTACAAGCGTATCTTCTCACAAGTCGTTAAGAAAACCCACTTTAAAGAGGTCTCAGTATGATTTTTAAATTATTTCTAATTGTCTTTGTAAAGTGAATAATTTGAATAACTCCCATCGTTGATTTATTTTCCAGATTCGGCCGAGCAAGCAACAACTTATATTAGATGTACCAAAACCTTTCGAATTGCCAGATGGCTCACCGTCGTTCAAAGACTATTCCGGTTGTCGTGAAAATCGATACATAAATCCTGATAAGGCTAGTAAAAATCGTATTTATCCACCATCTTATACTTTACATTATTGGAATTGCCCTCCGAATTATACAGCAGATGAACTTCGGAAATTAGTTATTGAGTGCGGTGCTTCTCCACCTCGGTATGTTGGGATTTGTTTAGGCAATATATATATATATATATATATATATATATATATGGATTAATGGTTTTTTGAATGATAGTCTGTCATTTTTTCCTCCCTTTATTTCTCTTCTAAGAGTAATAACTAGTTATAGAAGTTATTATTGCTATTATTATTATTGCTATTTTTCTGTTCAAAGTTGGTAACTATTTGCGAGCCGTCTTCTCAATATAGGGATTTCGATAATTAATTCCTCAAATGAGAACTTATGTACCGCAATTTGATTCAATGTGTGTAGAATTCCAGTTACAAGATTAGAAAAATGTAATTCTGTTTATAGGGTTATTGTTCTTTCATGCCACAGGCTACGGGTTCGAATTGATTAGTTAGCAGAGTTCATGCTTCTAACATTATAGTTGGGCTAGCGCAGGAGGTGTGTCATTTTAACAGTTATACTTTTAATTTTTGAAATCACTATCTCTTGTCACGATTCCACAGGAATCAATTTTCTCCACGTGTTGACAAAGCAAATAATCTTACTAGGTGAAAATATTAACAGGTCGTCAAGTCTTCTAAATACTTGGGCTAGTAAATTAGCAATACTTGGTACATAATTCTCAACATTTAGATGAAAATACCATTTTCAGGATTATTCTGCTTTGTTATTAATGTACATGACAGTAATGAGTGAACTGGCTAAATGCATAAACCACCTGCTCTAGAAATTTCTTGATTCCTGGTGTTTTGATATTCAATGATACCTTGAGAGGAACAGAAAACACCTCATCAGCTTCTGACCTCTCACTCTGTTGGTGTTAGCACTGTTTCACCATATTTGTTCCGGCTGTTTTTACGTCTGCCTATAGGGTCACTGAAGAAGGTACTTTCGACTGGACAACATTCTTTACAGTACTCTAGGTCTAAAATAGCCATTGAATTGCGTGAATGTTTTGTATACTTAGCTCGTCTTGTTTGCAATGGTCGCTTAGCTGATCTTTCTTAGAACTTGTAATTGATGGGATGTGCTTTCATAGTTGTGAAGGCGCTAACTACTTTTGATGAAGAAAACTAGTCCTGAACAAATCTTCGGTTGTTATGATGTGTGAATTTCTTAAAGTAAAATAAATTATGAGAACATGAATTGGATCACTTTTCTGTTTGTTATAAACCTTAGTAACCTACTTTCACTTCATGAGGTAATCCTTGATACATATTTTGCTTTATTTTTTTGTGGACTTTTGACAGACAAATTGCACCTTTCCCAAGAGTGAGCGACAGATCTTCTTCAGGTCTAGTCGAGTGGGGAACTAAGGATGAGGCAGTTACCGCACTTGCACTGTGCAATCATCAGGCTATTCCTAACACCGAGGGTCGTTATCCATTTCTTCTGAAACTTTCGTTCTCCAGTTCTGCGGTCAATGATCGTGGTTTTCCGGGTTCAAAGAAAATGGGATCGTCAGCTCTAGGAAAGTCGGCTGCATCTGTTGATTCTAGCGAATATGAATAGTTTATTGGTATGTTAATTGTTTTTTGTATTTTTATCTCAATCTTAAACTTCTCATTTGCCCTGTTTGATATTTCGCCACTTCTGTTATCGCAGATTCCTGTTTATTTATTGTAATATTATTTGGTAATTTCTCGTGGCGCCATGCTTTTACTAACTATTAGAAACCTCTTTATCTAGTGTGTGTTTAAAGCGTCTAGCCTTTCTCCCAATTTTCAAGTTTCACAACATTCTCTTGAGTAGCGCTGCATGCAATTCAGTAAGTTTAGAGTTCAACTGTGGTAAAAAACTTTGTAATTATTTCATCTTAAGCGTTGATAAGAATGTTTTACGTATTCGAAGTGTAAAACCTTGAATTACAGCACTGTTTGCGAGACAGTCCACTGTGATTGATTTTAAGATGTGTTACTGGGAGTCTCCAAACAATAACTGAAAACACCTTAGTATTTTCCATCAGATACTTTGTACTTATTCACACTTCTAAGGTCGCTAGGCCTCATGAATTGCCAACTCGTAGTTGCTTTAGGTGAATAATGTATATTATACAATCATTTTGTGTTCATGATTGGTTAGTTAATCACTATTCACATTGCCTTATTTTCGGCATACACGTGTAGTGAATTTCAGTGTACTAGCAGTGTATCTTGGAATTGTAAAACCACATATTCCCGTCCGTCGAAAGTATGGTTTTCTTTGTGCACTCTGTAAATTGTCTCACCTTTATCGTAATATTTTGAATGGGGAATTGTTCATGACATTCATAATTTTACTTTCATCTACGAATAATCACATAGTGACCTCATTGAACATTTATTTGTGCATGCTAACAGTGCGACTTTTGTGTGTACTTCTAAAACGTATAATGCGTTTAGTGATTGTGTTGTGGCATATGCGTATGATGATGCATTAGTTTTATTCTTGTTGTATAGTTTCAACATCATTATATTCCAGAAATCCATGACTTATCTTCTTCACTGAACAAAGCTATTTGTATTATAATTAGGTTGTTATATAGCGTAGAATTTACTAATTACAAAATGGCAGCTTCTCTGAGGTCCGTGATTACTGATCTGAGCCGTCTAGGAGACTGCGCACTCCCTGGCTGGAGGCTTTTACGAAGCAAGATGCATGATTAAACATTGATGCTAATATATCAGAATTTTAAACGTACTATTAACTAGCTTTCAGCCTTCATTTTGTCCATTTTTCTCCTTTCTTGTTTCTTTTTGTGATAAATTTGCGTAAAAGTCTCACTAGAAAATATTAAAAGTAAGGTGTAAACAGACTTTGAGTTTATTTACTAGGTTAACTGTAGTCCTCAACACTTACATTTTGTCTTACTGAGTTTTCAACGTAGAAATTTTCACAAAAGCGGAGCATTTCAATTTGCCACACTCCATATAGCGCACATATGTAGAGAAAAAGAAAAAAAATCAAAAGGACTGATAAACGGAAATGTATTGAGGGGGAAAGGATAGTTACATGGAGAATTATTAGAGTTAGGTAAATCTAGTAGTTCACAGAGTGCATACATCTGTGTTATTGAGAACAATTTCTGGACATATTACAAACAGCCTCCAACCGTTGTCTCCTAGCATCTCAGCAACAGCAGCTAGACAGTTTACACCCTCCTACATGGTTTAAGTCGGCAGTCAAAGACTTCCTGGATTAAGTCCACGTTTGGACTTAACCACCCGTTAATTTTTCCAACCTATGCCTATATCAGCTAAAATTTGTCGATGAGGAATGCTGTGGTTTGATATGTATCCTAGTCATCTCAATCTATACAGGTTGACAGCCGCCTCATAGATTTGTTTTCCGTCCTTGCCTTACACTACGCTAACCTCATTAATACTATATGGTATCAGTTAACATCGGGAGGTGAATAAAAACGTTAACACTTGTAGTCGAAGACAGTTAACCCCTTCGCGTTTTCCTTTCCAAATAGCTACGCTTCGCGACCGTAAAGAAGGACAGAGCGAAGTGTGCAATGTACGTCCTTTGATCTATAGCCGGATGTCACTTCTGCGCCAGGGATGGCGCCACTAAACCCCTTATATCTGAACTGAGATTTTGTCAACAGTCAAGTCCACTAGGGTTGATTTATCACACTATGTCAAGCTTAGAGTGTTAAAAGTAACCAATTCTTATAACCGTCGAAAGACAGGGATCACCGGATGGTCTATTCGCCCAGCGTAACCTTCGCATAGTTAAGTATAACTTACTCAATCTTCCCTGTCAAATATAACTCCTGTGTTAATAACCTTGTTTTTAAAATAATTTTCCTATCTGTAGCTTTGTTTATTTGTTTCTTAAAGCATTTTTTCCAATTTACAAACTGACTAGTTTGTTAGTAGAATATATACTTATTTTTATCAACAGTGTACTGCAGTTGACTGGTAACAATTGAACGGCTGGTGAGCTCGTAAGACAAGTGATACTACAGTGTGGACGAGTGATACGTATTTACGAGAACTTGTTGAAACCTGCATACATGTGATCGTATTTCTCATTCACCGGACATATAACTTCACTAGGTCAGTTAGTGATGATGAACAATAAAGCATATCAGTAGCTGTTGTCATAATCATCATGAAGTGGGGTTTTTCGATTTTTTGAAAGTCGAATATATGAAATCAATAATGGATAGTGCGTGCACATGACTTGCCACTATATTCTATCAGTTTCGACTGAAAACTGGACTGGTCTTCGGTCGCTTTGATTCATGTGCTGAAATATTCTGGTTTACAAAATTGAAAGTTATATTACTGTTTAGTTTGACAATTGTTTATTTAACAGAATATGTTCACGTTTTCATATTCACATGTTTTCACATTCTGTTTCTCTGAGTTTAAATAATTCCGTTTAGAGTGATTTTTATTTCAGTGAATTTGTTTTATTGAAGCTTTTAATTTCTATAAAATTTTAACGTTAGTCGTCAATATTTCGTTGGGTTTGAATCCCCTCTTTATGTAAACTAATGTGCGTGATCAGACTTATTCTTTGTTAGTGCAACAAAGTGTGCGAAAAATCAAGTAATAAAACGATCCCAAATGTAATACAAGAGAACCATGTTACGTTACTATATGTAGACAATAAATTCACTGAGTTGTAAATCACAAAAAAAAATGTTGAATTTATCAAATTCAAGATTTTTACAAACTTGTTGATGACAAAACATAAAATAAACCTTTATTCTTATCATATACAGTACACACAAATGTGCAATTACCCTGCAGATTTAATATTCACTCAACTGTTTTCGTAAATCCATCGTATGAATATAAGGCAATCAGATTCTGTAATGTGATTTCCAATGTACACAGATAACTACATTTATTAAGAATCTGTAGGCCTTTTAGTATTGTTATACATCACTGGTTGAAGGTAATGTGGGATTTGATTCTTTTTTGTATTAACTACTTGTCAAATTTCTTATTATCGTGTTGCTGTATGTATATCAGGGCTTGTTTGCTGTTGTTAGTATACTTTAGTCTTCCCTTCAAGGTATGACAGTCACCGTTAATGCGATTAACAACTGCAGATTATTCCTAGTTTTGAGGTTGAGTATAATAAATACTTTTAGTGGCTGAAATTATTTTTCAGTCACTAACAATATTCTTTGTTACACACTCATCCTAATTGTGAACGGTGTTTAATCAGAGCTTCTGTTTAAGGTTTTTGAAGTGTAGTATGCTAGTATAACACTATTAAAGTAACTCAGGTTTCCTTATAGTCTTGTTATTTCAGTCTTAGTGTTTAAGATGCTTTGGCTTTCCTAGGATAGGTGATTTTCCTCATTTTACTAATGACAAAATTCCACCAAATCTTATAGTGTCCAATATTTTGATTACATTTTGATGAAATTATTTTAATACTCATTCAATGTTCACATTGCTATACATAACTCGCAAATCATTTATTGTTACTTCATGGTCAACTAACATTCCAAAATACTTTACAAGCTAAAAAATATCCATGCTCTAATTGTTCATTGTTTCCTCATCAGACTGTTGGTTGAAAATAACAAAAGAACACAGCATTTGTTACCAAACCTAGCATCATATACCCCATATGGTGATTCCTGTGGCACATCAGTCAACGCAATCGCACTTTCCATTCAATCTATAACATAATCGCATATTGAAGCTGAACAATCACACAACAATTCGCAACGTAAATCCAATTCAATTTATGCATATTGCCATCTTATTCATTATTTGTTAAAAAAAATTAGTCTTCGCGTATGATATACATCCTAGACATATTGTAATTGGTGTGTCTATCTTTCTATCTATTGCTTGCTTGAATGCTTTAACTTATTCATAACTGTTATCTATAATTATGATGGCATTTTGTCGCAATATATTCTTGATGCTAACCGTTTTTTGCTGAGCTAATTCTCCGGTGTGATTGTCTGTGTATGTTTGTGCGTGTTTTGCCGTTAATGTGTTTACACAATATCCATCTGCATGTCATTTTTGCATTTGGTATTTATGAACAGCTATTTTTGGGGTGTTGTCTATTCTGGGTGTGTATTCCCGTAGGTTGTTTGTAAGTTTTCGTCTAACTCAGTCTGTCTCATTGTATGTATTTCTTTTGTGGCTGTCATTAATTTAAACAACCAGAACAATCTCGTTTGATGATTTTCTTCATTCTTCTTCCTTTAATCAACAGTCTCAAACATTTTAATTAGTGCATTTAAAACTAACAGTATCTAATCACTGCGTTCCTGTCACAAATTCAAGCTGAAATAAAAAATTAAAACTACTATATGAGTAATCAATTAAAAAACCGACTTACATCTTGTTTCCTTAATGTGACAATTGTTGAAATAAGTGGAAAGTAGTAGAATTGAAGAGAAAATATGTATTTCCAAGTGAAGACAGATTAGAACCCAATAGTTTTCCGAAATTCAAGGCGACTTCATGTTATGTGTGTTTCTGATCATGAAGCTTATTTCCGTTTTGTTTTGTAGTCACAGCAAGTCAACACTAGTCGATTAGTTTGCATTAGACTATTCCAATTGATGGGTAGTCACTTGTTTAATCCTCCACGTCAACTGATCGACAAATTCTGTATCACACTAGTGCAAACATTTCATTTCGCCAATAAAAGTTTATTAACTATACACTTTCAATTATAAAGTTAATATTTTCCAACTGTGTTTACATTACAGTAAATTTGCAAGTGTTGCATTTCATATTCACATTTCAGCGTACGCAAACACATGACATTTTGTCTATCCAACCGAACAGATGTGCAACAGTCTTAATGGTATAAATAATTAACACTTTCACAGTTGTTTTTTTCCCACTGTTAAATATGCAATTTTTGTTCGTATTCTTAGGTATTCATTTGCATATCTAATCGAAATTTAAACTGTGCATTTATTAAATATTTTTCATTTTACCTGCTTATTTTGATGTCAGCAAATACTTTGGACAAATCACTGTATCACAGTAATTCGTAAAAGTGATATAAACGACGAGATTACCGATTATTGTTAAATCTTTTCCTAGATCTATTTGCACTAGGTCTTTTCTTCCGAGAGTTTTCGCTTCACAAAAGCAAGGACGACGGCAAAACCAAATTGTATAATTTGTCTACGGCTTACTTTATCCTGTGATATATGTAGGCATAAATTCTTGTTTTGGTGTGATCGTTAGTGTACTCATCTAATTTTGTGTGTAATATCCCCTGTAAGAGTTTCTTCGCATTGTTGAGTTACATAGAAACTTGTTTTATTATCATCATGGGCATTTCACTATAACTGTCATGTCCATTTTAGTTATACTTTTGTTGTGTTGACAGCGAGCTTTAAAGCCTGGCAGAGCTGCGTTAAAAATATCGACGATGATTAAAAAAACAGCTGAATTAGTCTCGCTTCAGACACATGTTTAATTAATATCACATTTTTTTGGAATCTGGTGGATTCCACTGTTGGTCACCATCAATCAAAATAGTTTGACGTTGATCCTTGGACATCGTGGAAGCGTCCTTCCTAGGAACCAGCATGACAACAAAGATAAAGCATTTCGGTTGAACATAACCAATCAACGGTAATTGCAAATTAAACTAAAAACGAATAGCAGGACAATTTTCGCTTATTGAAACTGGCTACAGTCATGGTTCATAAAGAGCTAAACATTGGTCGGTTATAAAGCCATGCTGAAATAAATTAGTATTGTGTATTACACATATGAAGGGTTTTTCTATTATCTGTTTAAATGTAGCTAAGTTAAATAGAAACGGGAGCTTTAGACGTATATTATTAGGGATCGAATGAACTGTGTGGTAGGGGTGGTTTTGTGTTCATTTTATTGCGCTTGAAGTATGCTTAGTTGTTGAAGTTGGTAGCATATATCAAGTCCCACTGTCTCACGTTAACACAAGTAAAATGATGTTACAATATGTTGGTATATTGTTCTGTGTGGCATTTATTCCTAGGTATATTGATGAAGCAAACTATGATCGCTACACGTTATTAGAGAGGTTCCATATATGCCTTAATTGAATACATTTTTTTACCTGTTGAAATGCTGTTTTTTCATTCCTGAATTCATTGTATTTGAAAGTGGTGGTTCTTCCAATTGTTATTCAGAAAGTAGATTTTCGTCAACCAAAATTATGATCTATCTTCGATGTACGGTCTCATTTTTGTTTTTTTGAAATGTGTACGTATGATATGGGAAATCATCAGAGGATAAATAGCGATGGTTGCAATACGTTGCTTCGTGATTAGCACTATTTAGTATTAAATGCGATTAAGGTGTCCATTTCGTAGAGGGGAGAAGTATTATAATTTGGCTGTGGAGTTGTTTATCAGAGGTTGTATTTATTTTTGCTTAGCTTACACCTCAATATCATAGCGTTAGTGGTGTTCTGTGAAATAAACCCATTCAATGATATGTGTAGAACTCAGTTACTCAAAACGAAATTATTATATTAGAGGGTACGAATGACATTTGTTAAAGTATGTTCGGTTACTCAGACTGAAGTGAAGCTGGACTCGAACCCTAGCCCTAAGTGAATGAACCACATCACTCGCATGAGTCGAGAGTAGGTAAACTTGAGCAAATTAGAAAGGTACATTTACACTACGACTTGTTAGTGCATACACTAGTTATTGTTTATTTCATTTTGCTGCCGCATACCTTTGTGCCTATGCTGCACAGTGTGTAGCGAAGTGTACACGTGATACGAAGACTTGAGCGTAGCCGTTTTCATTTCATGTATGGTTGTTGTTGTTGTAAGTTTAATTTTCGATCACAGATTTTTCTGTATTGATGCGTAAACGAATGCATTTTTCTTGCTTCAGTGATGGTTGGACCCAAGCTGAAAGTTTTAAAATCCTATTTTGCTACTATATTATTATTCCATTCGTTCATTCACGCGGTTTTTGTTTTTATACCACTTTTTAATTTGCCTAATGGGATAATTCTTTTTCTTATATGGTGATAATTTCTTGAGTGGCGGTCGGATCAAGAGGGTAACCGTTGGCAACAAAGCTAGTCCTCTGTATCAGCATAATTTATTTGACGTAGTTACTTTGTCATGCGGATACGTTTTATGCTGGATTATTAAACGGTTGCTTCGGTAGGAATGTTCAGCGGCAATAATTCACGTAGTACTAGATGAACATGTTCCATTTAATTTTGATTTATTCTGAATTAAATCATCTTATATGCTAGAACTATTATCAAATGACTTGATATTGTGGTCGATATATGTGCATCACTGTTGGATTTTGATTTTTTACTCGTCGTATTTTGAATGCTTAATTATTTTCCTTAAGCAAAGTGTATTTAGGTATTTCCCGTCATATTTATCGTTCTCGTAATCGCGTAATCAGTAAAAATCTTACCCTACATTAGAGACTGATGCATTCTAAGTAAACTGCCAACATTGATTGCCATATTGTGTCTATTTTAGTCTTTTGAAGGCGATTCAGCATTGTGGTACATGGTTCTACCATACCTATGTAAATAAATCGCTTCTGCTACTGCTACTCTCCCCAAGAAGTAGGCTACTAAGGGTCCTTCGATGATGTGCTGCCTTATTACACTTAGTGTACGTTGGCGATGTAAGAGCGACAGTTGTTTAAGTTTCTATACCTTCTAATTTGTTATTGTAGTCATGTTACATTTTTGCTAAGGTTTCGGTAATCATTGCGTTATTTGATTAATTCCTACTGGAATTATAAACTTAAATTTGTGTCACTTAGATCATAGAAGTATTGGCTGAACTTAATTTAAGTAAGGTTCACAAGTTTAGGCATGGTCGCGCAGTTTTTCTTTAATTTCATGTTGTTAAGTCATTTTCAAGTTAGTCGTGTAGCTCGCGCCTGAATCGAAGCAAGTATGCGGTCATAGTGTACTATGATATAAAAGTGTAACCATAATAATTCTGATATGAATAATTTTTACGATAGCTTCCTAGTTCCTACGTTTATCTCATATTCTCTCTAATAATGGCCACATTTACTAAGTGGTCTACCCTTTGAATTAGTGGATTTTCACTGAAAATCGCTAGTGCCACTGAATGAGATATCGCCACCTACTGCCCCAACAACGCAGCACATTTTATGCATACAGATTTGCGATATTCAAAAACGAAGTTAGTTCTAGCTATCTATTTAAGCCTGTACGAGTAAGGTAAAGGGAAAGAACTTATCAGAAATCAGATTTCCCTTTATGTAAATAAATGGCTAGTGTTAACTAGTTTCATTTTAACTATATTAATGTTTAAATCGCATAAATAAGTTTCGGTAGTTTTCAAGTGTGTTCGATACGAAAAAGCAGTAGGTAACTCGGCTGAAGACCAATTATTAATTACTCACTGATTCAGTCCTCATCGACCCATGGAGCAGAAGAGAGAATCCTCCGAGAACAATAGACATTTATTTTTTTTAAATACGTTATCCGCTCCCTAGAGAGTCAATAAATAACTAATATAATTGGTTGCTTAAATTCGGGCTTGATGGTCGTCCAGTTGTATAAAAAGTATTCTGTCTCGATCCGACGGTTTAAATTTGTTCAGGTTGGTTTTGGGATTATGGAGAAATAAGATGCATAGAATATCTAAATGCAAGGCGAATGTTTTCTGAAACAGAAATGGAGTGTAAAAAATCGCAAAATAAACACATCTGAAAAGAATGTTAGCAGTATTTACGAGGCGAATCCAACTAATCTCAATGTTGATTTCGTCACGGGCCAACATCAGTTAGAGATAATTGAAAACCGAGGAGTGCTAGGCAGTCGTTTCGCTCAAGTTTGGGATTCTTCATCATTGTACACCCGAAAATTCACCAGGAATCGTCCCCGGCACCTTCAGATTACGACACCATGGTCGTCGACTACTCGTGCATTTGGGTCGGAATTCAGTTTTGTTGTCTGATTCTTCTCTGGTGAATTTGATGTCTTCAAATATGTTGTTGATTAATTTTTGGGTGTATTCCAGATCATTTCCTTAAATTATTACGAATGTATTATCAGCATAACGTGCCCAGATATTTGGTGTGGTTACGAGTAGAACTCTTTAAATATTCCCATTTATAATATTAGAACAGGACATATAAGCGAACAATATTGTTTTCAATTAGATCTTCAGGCTTTACTCTAATTTACATATAAAATTAGAGTAAAGCCTGAAGAAGATCTAATTGAAAACAATATTGTTCGCTTATATGTCCTGTTCTAATACGAGTAGAACTATCAGTTCTAATGCTTGCATAGCAGCTTCAGCTATTATTCTTAATATGTGGGTGTTCCTTTTATCTGTTAGTATATCTGATATCTGATTAATGTGAAATATGTTGTTTGAGTTCCATCCAAGTTGAAGATTGCGTTTTTGTGTTCATCGCTATAGAGTAATTGTTAGTTTCTGTCCAACTGAAGCTTGTAATGCTGTGACGTCAGAGGTCATCTGAATGTTTCTGACTTTTCCTAAAAAATGGGGTTGGTTAATTATTGCAGTGGTCGCATGTTTCTGTTGGGTATTTTAATTTTTTTTTCAAGTTTTTTGATGATCCTGGTAGCAAAATGATGAGTTGTTTGGTTTGTGTAGTTTCAGTGTACGGTAAAATCGTGGTAAAACAGGTCTGTTAAATTTTTCATCCTGCATTGATCTTGTTTTGCTATTTGTCCTGATATCTTTGGTCTATATAGTGTTATTTTGATTTCATCATCTAATCGTTTGTGTTATGTTTTTCATCAGCTGTTGATATACATTATTATCTTTAACTAAATCATCTGCTTTCTCTGCGTAGTCTTCTGTGTCCAATATTACTGTTGTTCTTCCCTTATCAGCTGTTAGTATAACTGTCTTTTCTCTTCTTCAATGTATTTTCCTCTTGAGTGTTGAGCATTATATTTTTTCTGTTTGGTCATGGGTATGATACATTGATGTAGTTCTTGTTGTACTTCCTCCTTTATTTTTGATGATTCTAAGGAACCACAGAAATCTGTTTTTTTATGCTTCACCAGTATTGTAGTCCAGTTCTTTCTATATTTCATAGTGGTTGTTTCGATAAGTTCACTAAGTAATCATTCAGCGTTTCTCCAGATGGTTGTTTAGTAATTTCAGCTTATTTTGCTTTGAAGACAACTTGCCTTCGTCCTTTGTGTCATGCGCTTAATATTTTGATGGCAGTCTTCAACGTTTGTGAAGAAATCTTTGTAACAACTTCATAAATTCGAACGAATTGACTTTATCAATAAGCATCTCTAGTGGGAAGTACCGATGTCTGAATATATATTGTAACGACAGAAGACAAGGGCCAGGCACCAGATCATTTATTGAGAAAATCAAGAGATATTTATAGATTTTATGTACATTATTATTCGTTATTGTTAGCAGAGAAGCAACGTCTTCTGGTTGGTCGTTTTTCTTGCTCAAGGTTATTGTGTCATTTTTTTTGTGGCCGTTTTTTAGACAGCCCGGTCATATATCAGCGAATCGTATTCGCCCACGCTAAGTCTGTCGTGATTGGTTGTTGAGTTCCTCAAGGTTAGGCTTTGTTATTGTTTTTTCTCATGACCTCGATTTGGGACGTAAACATTGAAGTCAATTGTTGTCTACAGTTTTGTCTTGCAGACAGCTCTCACCACAATATGTCCTTGTAACAAAGACATTTCCATGAATATGTCGATTTTTACCATTAATAGATTGCAAAGTACTTCAGTGTATTTTCAGGTCCACACGTCATTTAGGTAAATGTTCTTCTGCAAAACCCACGAAATAACTAGGAATTATTCTTAATCTCACTCTTAATGGCCTACGTCAAAGAAGGTATAGTGGCCTCTTCACATTTGGCATACATGACATCCTACACCTTCATTGCTGTCATGTATTATTGAGTACGATCGTTCGTTCAGCAGTGGAAGTATCGAAGAAGACCGATGGTAACTTATGATTGCAAAGATAACTTCACTCGACAAAATACATTGCCTACCTTTTCATATCTAAAAGTGCTCTAAGTCAATGGCAAAGGTAATTATTTTGAATGGCTGTATAAAAGTGAGTGGTGACGTAGATCTAATTTGAAGTAATGTTTATCTCGTTAGCCGATGAATACAAGTGTTAATTCCGATTATAATCACCTAGTAAAAGATCTAACTAACAAGATGAAGTCCTTCATCGCAATGGTTGTTTTAGATCCTCTGGCTGTCTATTGTTATTACATCAGGAAGTAATGACAACCCACCGAGCTTTGTTTTACTTCCGACATTTATCTTGCCAGGTACTGAAGCTCCCAGTTACACTATGTAACGTGTAAGTTGGTGTTTTCTGGCGATTTCATAGAAGGCTATTCTAAACTGTTGATATATTTGTGTATAATATACGTAAGACTTCGGAACTGTGTTAGTATGTAATTCTATATGAATTTGTTCATTGTATACATCAGAGTGAAGTATTATTAATTGGATGACGTCTCAGACACAGTTTACTGTCCATAATCAAGGTTTACACATCTTACGCTGTCAAACTTTCAAGCTAATTTTTGTAAGTTTTCAAATTTTACATTCGTTGAGTGCATTTTAGTTTTTTCCTTGTTATATCCTGCGATTCACCGACTTATAGTATCAGAATTTATGAGACAACTATTTTGTATAGTACTCACATGTAGACTTACTGCCTTTCATTTGTAGCTTTTTTTTTGAAAGGATTTGACTTATTTAGCACTTAACACAAGCCCTTCTTTGTTAACATTGAGAGTTATGTACAGCTTTTTGTTTTTATTTGACAAGTTCTGTTTGTAAACTAATTGTGTATGTGTCTTTGTTAATTTAAATGAATAGTTCCAAATCTTTTTGATTTTGAATAAATTTTCGTCAAACATCCAGATTGTTTTTGTTCTTTTCAGTACAAAAGTTTTCATTGAATCTGACATGTAGTGAATATTTGTTACAATAGGACTTGCTACTCTCATTGGACACTAGTAACTAGTGTGATATGTCTAGTCCTCTGTTTGGTGCAGACTGAATTCTCTCAGTCAGGTTTGCAATCTGGCCACCAGATACGCCTTGCTGAAGAGTGCCAACTAGCACGAAATCTAGGTCCAAGGCTTCCTGCCGATTGCCTCCAACCATCTAACCATTAATAAGACTTGTTAGCTAGTACTTCATGGATTTATAAGTCACTTGAATGTTGTATACTGAAGTTGTCAGTTTGAGACATCATGTACATCCTACACCGAATTCTTTAAAGACGTGTGATTATCCCTTAGATATTTTGGTCCTCATTGTCAGTAGTAATGACACAGAGTCTGGGTTTCACTATAGTTATGACACACGTAACTTGGCTTGATGCTGTCTGTTTCTAAAATGCGAAAATGATGAGGTCTTAGAGATGCAAATTAGTTGCATTCCAAAGAAGAGAAAAAGCATTCAAAGCAAAATGTTTAGTGCGTCATACTTATGGATATGTAAGGAAGTGTGAATATGATTGGCGCTCATAGCCTGATAATCACGTAACAGTCATAGTTGACAAGATGGAGGAGATATTTGCTGATAGGCTGTTGTGATGTTTGTCTGTTCAATTAACACTAGTCCAATAAGTATTCCCAGAATGATTTCTGCAAATATTTTCCCGAAATGTTTGAGATTATATTGTAACAACAGAAGACAAGGGCCAGGCAACAGATCGTTTATTAAGGAAAATCAACACATATTTATAGATTTTAAGGTACATTATTATAGATTATTTAAGCAGA